CCTAAACCCCCAAAAAACCCTAAAGCTATGAAGGCCCCCTTCTACTACCGGCTTTCCGGCTCTGGGCTTTGAGGCCCTGTGAGCCCTTCGAAGCTGAAGACTGGAGGCTGCTGGGCTTCTGTTTGTTTTGGGGGGGAGCCTTGGGGTTGCTGTTTTGGGGTTCATTCGGGTTTAGGGTTTAGGGTTCAGGGTTTGGGGGTTCATTCGGGTTTAGGGTTTAGGGTTCAGGGTTTGGGGGTTCATTCGGGTTTAGGGTTTAGGGTTTAGGGTTTTGGGGTTCATTCGGGTTTAGGGTTTAGGGTTTAGGGTTTTGGGGTTCGCTTTTAGGGTTTAGGGTTTTGGGGTTTAGGGTTTTGGGGTTTGGGGTTCAGGGTTTAGGGTTTTGGGTTTTGGGTTTTGGGGTTCATTAGGGTTTAGGGTTTAGGGATTGGGGTTGCTGTTTTCGGGTTCATTAGGGTTTAGGGTTTAGGGCTTGTGGTTGCTGTTTTGGGGCTCATTATGGTTCAGGGTTGTGGGTTTTGGAGTTTAGGGTTTTGGGGTTCATGTTCCTATCCATTCCGAGCCCAACACTAGGGCTCAGGGCCTGAGGATTCTGTCAAGATGGACCTCAAACTTCGGCAAAAAACAAGATGCCCCTAAACCGTGAGGCCCTTGAGCTTCGAGATGCTAGAGTCCTAGGGTTTAGGGGTTTAGGGTTAAGGCATTCGGAAGTTCATTCTGCGAGGCTTCAGGGCGGAAAAGTCTCAGACTTAACAGTTCGCGGTTTAAGGCTTGGGGCGAAGAATGAGTTCTGAGTCCCTAAACCCCAAACCTTGAACCCTAAACCCCTAAGCCCTAAACCCCTAAACCCCTAAACCCCTTAACCCCTAAACCCTAAACACAAGCCAAGGACTTCGGGTCACGGGCCGAAGAAGGCGTGGGGGTTTTGGGTAGGAATTGGGGTTTAGTTCCCCAAACCCTTCGCCCAGACCGAGAATAGCAGGGACCAGCATCCTTAGCACTAGACATGCTGCAGAGACAACAGCGTGCGTAGCCATATCAAGAAGATTGGCAACACCCTAAACCCTAAACCCTAAACACTAAACCAATTCAATAAAAAACACTCCGATGCTCAGGTCTGGGCCCACCCCTCGACAGCCAGACGGCCGAGATGGTGCCTTTAGGGTTTGGGCGCCGAAGCTACACTAACGTCTAAACGTAGGGTTTAGGGTTTAGGGTTTAGGGGTTTAAACTGCCGGTGTAGAGCTTCGGGCGCTTCAGGTTGAGGGTATAGAATAGGTTAAGGGCTGCAGGCTTAGATGCGTTTAGAAGGGGTGTGTCTACCAAGCCCGATTGTGATGGCGATGTTGATTATGATGCTTGGTGGTGGTGATTGTGAAACCCCTAGGCCCGAAGATCAAGGAACCCTGTTCCGAAAGTAGACCCGTTGACGAACCCTTCGTTTTTGGCCTCAAGCTCGACTCTTGAGCGGTGGCAAAGACACGACGCATATTGTTGACAAGTGAATCGGACAGAGATGCTGATGGTGGCATTAAGCCTGATTATGACCGAAGGCTTTCTAGGGTTTATGAGCCACGACGAAAACTAATCACAAGAAACAGGCGGCTAACCACGTGAAATTGCAGTGGTAATAGTGCCAACTTGAGAGGCGGATGTGCAGAGTGTCCTCGGGGTACTAATGCATTCACCACAACAGTCCCTGTGGCTGCAGAAGACAAATGGACAAGCAGCGGCTATCCGCCAGTCTCCCGAAACCAAACTATCTATCCTCTTCTTCTTCGTATATACACGTATCATGCCCCAACGTCATGTAGCGGTTGACACCTATGTGCTATGCCGCTATGCTAATACACGTGAGTTACATGTACGGTTATTGTAGATCCGCACATACAGTATCTACATCAAGCCCGGCACAACACCCAGCACAACAACTCTCGGCACAGGCCTCCCTAAAACCCTGCAGCCCCAAACAACCCAAACACCCTAAGCCCACTTAATCTGTTCAACGCAACAAAGCTACGACCCCAACCTCAACCCTCAATCCCAAATCAGAGCCAAAACCTGATATAGACCCTGAATGGTAGGATCCTGATTGCAAGGGCTTGTGAACAAGCTACCCCCAAGTTTGAGAACCCAAACCCAAGCCTTAAACCCTAAACCCCAATCTCTAAACCCTCAGCCCTAACCCTCAACCCTAAACCCAAACCCCCTAGAAACCCTAGAAACGCCAGAGACCCTAGAAACCCTAGAAACCCTATAAACCCTATAAACCCCATAGACCCTATAAACCTCATAAACCCTATAAACCCCATAAACCCTATAAACCTTACAGATCCCTATAAACCCTATAAACCCCATAAACCCTCTAAACCCCATCAACCCTATAAATCCCATAAACCCTTATAAACCCTATACACCCTATAAACCCTGTAAACCCTATAGACCGTATAAACCCTATAGACCGTATAAACCCTATAAACCCTATAAACCCTTAAAAAACCCCATAAACCCTATAAACCCCTATAAACCCCTATAAACCCGGTAAACCCTACAAAACCCTAAAAACCCCTATGAACCCCTGTAAACCCTATAAACCCTATAGACCCTATAAACCCCGACAAAACCTCTATAAACCCTATAAACCCTATAAACCCTGAAGCCCGAGGTCGGTTTTGCGCTGAAGCCTAAACCCTAAACCAAACCCTAAACCCTAAACCCTAAACCCTAAACCCTAAACCCTAAACCCTAAACCCTAAAGCTGAAGGGCTGGGGTTCTCCATTCCCAGGGAGTAGCGCGGCTCTCGGCCTCAGATGCGACAATGACAGGATCCCCTTGAGGGCTGAGGGTTTAGGATTTTGGGGTTCAGGCTTTAGGATTTAGGG